ACAAATCTATAAAACATCTATCAACACCACTAGGGGGTGGCTGGGCTCCGATCTCCCCATCTCCAATACTCTCTAATCCACAGCGTCGTCATCTTAGGCCGGGGATCCAGTCAGATCTCCGATCTCCATCTTCAATCTCCAATCTCCAACGTCGTCATCTTAGGCCGGATTCAGTCAGATCTCCGATCTCCATCTCCAATCTCCAATCTCCAATCTCGATTCGGGGACCCGGGGGAGGAGGGGGGCTCAAACCTTCAAGGAGATGCGCTATGGATTCATTCACACTGACCATCTCTCATCTCCAATCTCCAATCTTCTACTTGGCCACTGTCGCCGCCGGCAGCAATCTACGACCTCCATTTTCAATCTTCGATCTCACATCTGGGGCGGATGGCTGGGCGCTAGGATCTACAATCTGCATTCTCCATCTCCTATCTCCACATTTTGGCCCGTGTTAGTCTTGAATGGGGAACCGGACTGGAGGGATCTACTGGCGAGACTTGGGCGTGTCCGTGTGAGAGATCCGCTAGGATCTCCAGTCTTAATCTACTATCTCTACCCCAACGATCTACTGGTCTTGCGTAGAGATGTCCATTACTCCTGCAAGCAAGCAGCGCCGGGCGACGACGACTGACTGACTTACCGCCTCGCCCGGCGGTCCCCCTCGGCACACCTCCGCTGCTTAATTTGACGACTCGAACGCCCGTGAAGCTTCCCCGTGCGCGGGTTACCCCGCACACGGGTCAGCCTGCCAGCCACGTATCCACGCAAGCGTGGTCCGCGCGCATGGCATGCAGGCAGGCGTTCGCCAGACAGCGCAGAGGCTAGGCGACCGGGGAAGGACTAGCTCGACTGATTGAGACATCCCCCATCCGACAAAAAGTAAACTCAAAGCGAAAATGAATTGCGCGGCCGCGTAACTTTTGGGCCGTCGATAAAAAGCGACAATAATAAAGGCGTGGATATCGTCCAAATGCAAAGCCCGCTTTTGCCCTCGCTCGCGCTACGTAATGAATTTTACAACTACGTAATGAAATATGGCTGAGCCGTGCCTGAACAGCTTCGGGAGCCGCGCGTTCCAGGACCCGCACCTCAATTTTGCGCACGGCGGCCAGGCCGACTTTCGCGGCCGCCACAACGTGCTTTACAACTTCCTCTCTCTTTTTCGCACACGCCCGACGCTAGTAGGTGAGGATCGACCATCCTCCGCAAGCAGGGCTTCGTCGGGCGCGTCTTCGTCGAGCGGTGGTGCATCTCCCATGCTCCCACCCGCGCCCTCCTCGCAGCCCGCCCGCGGCCGACACCGACGCCCTCACGGGCTCACCCTAGTCGTAGGTGCGGGTTTTTTGCGTGCCCTCCGTCGATACGGGGCGCTGGGCGATGGCTGGGCTTGTCGCCGGGCGAGCTGGCCCCTCAGTCGGCCGCGGAGCGGAGATGCGAAATCGAGGCGGCGCGGCCCCTGCGCGCAGCCTATCCGGCCGGCGCGCGCATGGTTCCGTAGCCCGTCTAGTGCCTCACTGACCAACTCCAGCGCTACGGTCTACGTGGCCGGTGTGGTACTGGGGCTGGGCAGCCTTGGGGCCGGCGGAGACCGCCGTCTAGCGGTCGCACTAGTCGGATATCGTTGTTCAACCTGTTTGTTCAACGGTTGTTCAACCATACTTTGAGCCTTAATTATTAATTCGGGTTTGGGTCTCTGAGGTCGATACTAGCGTCTATAACTTGCCACAAGCATGCTTTACAAAAGTCCAGCGGAGCTGGACTCGCAGAACGGCCGTCCGCGCGCGCTGTGAACAGCGCCGTGGTTGAACACTGTTCAACGTCGTTGAACACGTGACGGTCCAGTAACCGAAGAGGGGGTGGTCCGGCTCACAAGTCCCCGGCTCACGCGCCTCGAGCTTACCATCTACCGCACTGAACACTTCCGCCCCCTCGCTCCCAACCCATCCACCTCGCCTCGGGCCGCGCCGCGCGATCTCGGTCGATCTCGCGCTATCTCGGGCGATCTCGGGGCCGCGCCGCGCTATCTCGGGCGATCTGGGAGCGTCGCTCGCGCGGCGTCACACCTGCTCAAAAAAAAGGAAGGGCCTGGTTGGAGCCACGGGGCTCACGAGGACGTGCTCGCTCGGTTCTCGCCGCCTCGCCCTGCGCCACTTGGGCCGGTGAGGCGGCGCCCCGCGGCGCGCGGCGCGTCCTCGCCCCGTCCACGCCGACCCCTGCGCGTACCGCTCATCTTCAGCCCTCTTGGGGTTACTCTTGCGCTCACGCAGGGGAACCCGGCGGGACTCCCTTCCCCCCACCTCCGACGGGTTAGGTCGGTTCTGCGCCCCTTGGCGCCTGTGCATGTCCCGCGTGCCCGCCTGCCAAGGCTGGTGCCAAGGCCAAATCAACTGCCAAGGGCAAGG